AGCGAAACTTCTTGGAATTCGAACTTCTCGACCCCCCCCCCCCTCCCCCCTCCCGAATCTATACAGCAGCTACAAATTACGACCTCTGGGACTTACAAGTTTGTATAGAATTTGAATTCCCAAACTCCGGAAGCTAGCAGCGCAGCTATTTATCCTAATTGTTATTGATTAAGCGCGCGATTGGAATCGCTACGTGCAACGTTGTTTCGAGTTTGTTTTTCTTGCGAAGAGTTGATTGATCTTCCGTTTTAGGTATTACGTTTTTATATTTACTCCGTATAGGAAGAGTTACTGCGTGTGTTTAGCTTTATTGGCGGAGTCTTTGATCGCCGTTTTTGCAGGGGATGTCCAGTACGCTCGCGGAGAGAGTAGGGTTGTAAAAGTACGGAAACATCAACCTTCTAGGACTATCAGATCCATAAAACCTAAGTGCTGAAGTATTTCGAGGCACAAGCTATGGTTTCCAAGGAAGAGTGTCGGGAGCTGAAAAGAACAGATGCCTCGAGACGTGAACTTTTTTCCTCTTCTTGTCGAAGTTCCTTGGCCTATTGGACACAAAGTTCATGCACTTCCACGAAACATTTTTATTTATATGTTTTGAGGCTTCTCCTCTTCGACATGGACCTATAATTATCTCATAAAGAATCTTTAATTATTTAAACAGAATGATATCGGTGATACGAGGCTATTAACGTCTCTTTGAAAGATGCATGCATTAGTAATGGACGCATCAATCATTCACCTATTTTACTTCATTATATTCGAAATATTGTTATTGTTCGTTGGATAATTAGCACCCCGAATCCTGTGGAAACTTCATCCCCTTCAACGTTTTACGTCCATGTCCGGCACGAGCACGCCTGACCTGCAGATTTCGGCTTGCTCCTCGTTACTGGTTCGCTTACCCTTCCTAGCTGTCAAACGAAATGATTTATTTTTGGCATTTTGTTTCGAAAAGCGCGCTAAACAGATTCTCCCGTATGGAGTCGTACAATTGAGAAGGAACTGATTCTATTGTAGGGAGAACCAACAATCGATACATGGTTAATAAGGTACCACGAATTAGAATATAAACGGTGTTTAGTTATTTTTATTTACCACCGAAGCGACAAATCGATAAATAGTGCGCTTTTCAAATCACTTCAAGAAATTTAATTTCATCGGAAATTATTGAGTTGTCCAGAAAATTCGTGGCAATTTTTAAAAAAAGTTCAAAGGCACATTTGAATTTTGATATATGTTTATTGAATTACATAAGTACCATTTTGTTCCACAACTTTTCCACCTCATAAGGGATTCCGATATATTCAGACCTGTACCACCTACCAAAAATTGACATGGACTTTCCAGACAACCCAATACTTTACCAACGACGAGTCCCGAATCATTACCGTCAGAAAATTACAGAAAAGTACGATAACGGTTGTCAGGAATGAAGACAATACCGTAACGTGTGACAACCCGTTCGATTCGCGTTCGTCAAGGATCCGCAATCGATCGGGAGTCGCGTGCGTTATTGGGGGTCGACGATAGGCATGGTAATCAGTCAACGCAATTTCCGTAATTCGAGCGACGATCGCGCGTTGACAGTCATTTCGCCGGGAGACCAATTTTATGCTCGCAGTCTGTTGTCACAGCGAGAGTGGTCAGTAATTAATTGGACGATGGGATCCGTATTATTTGCTTTCCGCGGTGAAATTTGCAAACGTCGATGGACGAGACCGTTGCTAATGGAACGATAGTCGAGTCAGTCGCTGGCGATTATGATCGTTGTAAGCTGACGCGAGCGAAGCCTAGGAAATGACGATCCCCTTTCGTAATTATCGTTCTGCGCTACGAAAGCGCTATGTTGTGATTCGTCTTGCGTCTGATCGGGCAAATTATTTCGCGGGACGGGCCTCTTCAGAGGAGATAAATTATATTGGACGCACCTGCGGCTGGAAATCTCGAGACGAATCCGCGGTAGATTGATAAAGATGCTGGGAAGAACATTGGTCGAGGAAACCAAGTGGAAAAGGTCGTTGAATCTGAAGTGGTTGGAATAGACGTTTTTATTTTTAATTGAACCGTAGTGGGACCATTTGTGCGTTATACTCTGATTATAAGGATCGACTAACATTTTCACTCGTGTACAACACATAATTGAATAGTTTTACATTTAGCAACGTAGATAATTTATGCTTGTTGTCATTCGAGTAATTAATTCAATGGTGTCCTGGCTAAGCTCCTAGAAATTTAAATTACGTCGAATTCACTGTACCATTTAGCGAAGTTGATCTCGCTGTTTGAATTTCTTTTGAAGAAGCAAGAGGACTTTTTGTCCAACTCGATAATACAGCAGCCGAGATCGCGACAGATGTTGCTTTTTCAGAAAATAGGGAATTAAGCTCGACGAGGAAACTTAGGTATATAGTAATCTGCCTAATTGGGGAAACAAACTAATCAGTTGAACCGCTAATTCATCCTCATACGCGTCACTCGACACGTCACTGCGCATTACAGTCGGATCAAAATCAACCGGCCCACTCAAGGCTGGAATCAAGAGGTACTCGATTTAGGTGTCGTGAACAAGTTCACACGCATAATTCATAAATTGTAATAATTGTAGGCCTGAAGACGACTCGATTCGCATGAGTCATCGCGTAGTAATAAATAATCCTCGCGTCGAGACTGACAAACGTTGTTTCTTATCTTTACACTCTTCGAGCTTCTCTATTTTTTTCTTTTTCATTCTACCTACGTATTCCTCGGTTTCACCTCTTGGTCAGCAACGCTTGGAATATTTATTATCCGTGTCTTCGCGGAAAATGTTTCCTGATCCGTGTCTTATAGCGCTCTACTCTAGGCTATAGGTATCACGTAGCTACCAGAAGTATCACGATACGTTTCACCGATATTTACTTTGATATTTATAGGTTCGATGCGCACGGGTATCTACCTGGTCTCTGACCCAGGACCTATAGGAAAAAGCCCCGTGTATTTGATCATCAAGTTTCAGGATCCAGGGGCTCGTTTCGAGGCATCGAACGCGCGGCTACCGGCGGTAAAGCACTGCGAAAATATTTGCGAACTGTAACACGTGTTGCGAGTTTGAGGTGGGGAAGGAGGGGAAAGGGAAACCGGCAAATAGTAGCAGAGACGCGACGGTCATCAATTCGCGTTAACGTTTACGTTTTATTCGGGTCCTGTATTCTTTTTTTCTTTTTTTTTTTTGGCCTCTATCCCTCTGTGTTCGTTGCACTGATTCGAACGGGCACAATGCTTCGAAATTGGATTACTCCCCGGAACTGGGCGAATTTTTATTCAAATAATTGAGCAAAACTATCGATTGGAAATGAAATTTCAGTTACAAATAACAATTACATTTTTTTATCGGAAGAATGTTTATTCATATAACGTAACGGGTAATTTAATCCAGTGAAAACAGGAATCGCATTACATGAAATAGTCTAACTTTTGACACGTGTCTCTTTTGGTATTATTAGACTTGATCATAGCTTTCTTGTAACGTTGACACCACTGCAAACATACACGATTTTTCACAAAGGCTTCAGAATTTTGGTTTTTAATACATTCAATATATTCTATGATGTATTATATATGTTGTAATATATATTTAATATGTTCAACTGGTATATCTTAAATAAAGTATACATGATTGTAATTAAACATAATTAAAAGTGTCCATTACGCCATGTTAGCAGGCGTATTTTATTATTAAAAATAAAACTCAGTACCTTCTTTTAAGAAACCCTTTACTTCATACTGTTTCCACGTAACGCCTGCTCATATATTTTTCTCTAAATCTCTGTATATACATCATATTTTGCTTTGTTTTCTCGTGCAATTTCAAGAAGAAAATTTCAGGGAAGAATGCATATTTCAAAAATTTGCCCTAGCATAAATTTGTTCTACATAACCACTAACATAATTTGCTAGACTTACGATGTCTTCTCGTAGGGGACATCCGAGTGCAAAGAGTTAGTTATTAAATAGAAACATGGTTCTTCGCTTGCGCGAAATAAAAATGACGTCGGTTTAAAAATATACTGTTTGTTATACGTGTTTGCTTTTTGGAACGATTTTCTTTTAAAAGAATTCATCGTATATAGTTTGATTATTTTTAGCAATTTAGTTAGATCTTTCGAAATTCTTTAAAATGATTGTTTTGGTAAAAATTCATTTGAATGATTGCTGAAGTAAAAATCCATTTAAACAATGATGAAATCTGGCTTTGTATTCGACGAGCGTGGTGGGATCGTTATTGGCCCCCCACCGCGATATAAACGATGATTAATTACGCGCGCGTTGTTATAACCCAGCGTACACCTTAATTCCGTCCACTAATTAGTCCTCATTGTAACGACTGCGCGCTCTCATTGTTTGTAACCTCGAAACGATTCGAGCATAGCCGCGGTCGCTGGAAAGCTTGTTGCGCGTATACGTGGGTGTAATTAATACGCGTCCGATTGAAAGGCAAAGTGAATCGAACCCTCGAAGCCCGTGTTCGATTTCATCGGTGTTGTAATAATATCGAGCCGATCCTTTCTTACCGAGCTAAGAAGTTTTCCGTGCTTGGTCGGGAAAAGTCAAATTAATCAGTAAAAAGTCGAGTGTTCTAGAATTCTAATTGTAATTCTCATTCTAAATTCGCTCGTTAAATTGATCCAGAGTTCACTGTGTTCATAAAACTTCCGCGTCGACCTTAATTTTTCCCAGACTGAAAAATCCACCTAACCCTTCACCTTCTCTCTTATTTTAGAATTATTCGCCTACGAACTTCCACAAGAATCCCTCGTCCTTTCAAAACTGGTAGATTTTTTCATTTATTTGTTTTCCTCCCGATATTCTAATCTGTAAGGTCAACGCAAATAGCTTCCACGAAGTTTGTCACAGTGGTAGTTGCACACATGTAACGATGTCATTAGCAATAGAAGGTAGCAATTTATCAGATCACGGTCGACAATCGGCACAATCAGTCACGTAAGTGAAACTTTCAGGTCCTCGCGAACGGCGGATCCGTTTCCCTTTACAATGAGAAAATTGCTGTTGAGTTGTCGTGCAAGCATAACGGAGAGACAGGCGAAATGCGCGACGCACTTGGTTGAACGTCTGCGACTGGGACAGCGATGACATAACTGCGTCTTAACTCGATAAATTCATCGCGGTTACAGTAACAGGTTGGATGGCATTCGCCGTTGTGCTCCGATGATGCACAGATTACACATGTGTAGTAGCTGGTGTGGCATTATCAAATCGTGCTCGGGACAATCTGGAGGTCAGCTCGCTTATCAAGATAATATCGTGGCCTAGAAATCCGGGACGGATTCCGAACGGAAACGTACTCCGTTAATGATATGGATTCCAGTGATATTGGAGCGTCTTCAGTGCTCGATGAAATGTAATTACTTTTCGATAGATTGTCTGCTGGTGCTGGAGTGACACGGTCGGGTTAAAAGCATCTGTTAACTTAACAAAAATATTGGATGCCGTGTCTTCTAGTATAGCGATAAAAGTACTCGAGTGGCAACTTTATTATAATAGTTTGTTCTTGTATTAAAATAAAAATGTCTTAAACCATGAAAAACTGTAATTATAACAATGTATTCTGTATATTATATTGACTCTTCGAAAGTATGACTCATCCAAAAGCATATACTTGATTGTGTATAAAATACAGTATGGCGGTGACACAGTAAGTGCAAGAAAAATAACTGCGTAATATTTGGATATTCTTTTTTAAGTTCTGTCGCTATTCTCCGCTTAAACGCTCGCTCTAGAAACTCTTGATGGCCTTTGCACTCGCTATACTCGCTGTACGCCGCTCAAACAACACACTGACCGCCTTTAAGAATGCAAACACACACTCTTTGGCGACACTTGGTCGCTACATAGCACGCGTGCACTCATTACTTCGCAGTCGTTCCGAGGCAGGCACGTTTCTTATATTCCTACCTTGTGAATATCGCAATTGCACGTGGCGTATAAAAAAAAAGTCTCTCGTGTTTACAATAGTGGTATGTGGGTTGTCGAATTAAAGCAGGAAATATTGGTTGCCGAAGGACACAGGACTGTCACTACCACTCCGTCTCTCCCTGATTCGCCCCGCCTATTACTCCGCCCCTCGTCTTTTTCTTTTGCCCAGCAGTTGCGTTTGAAAGAAAATAAATATATCGCAAGGGAATAGTTAGTTTGGCGTGATATATAGTTATCGTGGTGAATTTCTATGGCCTATATTTTCACTTTGAACCACGGCGAACTCGCCAATGAAAACGTGTACATGTTGATTTATGCGAAGGATTGAAGAATTCAGAGGTATGCGCGAAGCCCATCGGTGACGACTATGCATGTTACTGTGTGATTTATGATACTGATGTGTGATTTTGTACGATAACAGGAACTTCTGTGGAAGCAATGGAAAATGAGGAAATGTGAAAGATAAGAATTGTATTTAACATGACTGGTCATAGGAGTTTACAATAGTCTAGATCGTCGTTTCTAAGGTAGAGTGGCCTTTATATAACTAGTACTTCTGGAACAGGACATATCATATCTATTATTCTATCAAGCCTAGTTTGTGGTACCACACGAACTATATATTTTTCGTCCACTTCAGGGAATACCGTCCCTCAAGTCTCAGACCCTTCGTTCAGGTCACGCTACATGAAGGAGTCGGTCGCTTGTCTAGAACTTGCGAGAATGATGATTGATAAAATGCTCCCTGGCGGCATCCAATGAGAAATACATCGATCCAATAGTTATTTTCTACTTCTGAGCTACGATCAGTTATTGTTCGGTGGTCCCTTCGTCTAATATTTCAAACATTCAAAAAGTTGAACCTAAATGCAATAGTAATATGGCGAAAATGTATTATTTGGATTAAAGTCTGTTATCAATGGACTAAAAAATATCGTCTTTTGCCTTCAGTGATTCATACATTGTAGGGATTTTCGCTATATTTTCATCGATCGAGTATGTAGCAAGCATGGCGTTCGTGTATATCGCGATGGAAAAAATTGCGACGATAAGCGGAATTGTTATCGATGCAGCATGCTTAATCGCGCTAATCTCGCTGGGCAAATACCAGGGTATCTCTTGATTTGGTGTACGCCGTGCTTATGTCGGAGCATAGTCTCATTAGGGTGTATCTTGTCGCGTGAAACCGTTTAGGTGTATCCGTGCACTTGCATTATTCGTTGTCTCATTATGCTGATTACAATCGGCGACAAAGCTACGTTAGTTTCGATAAACTACGAAATTTCCTTGCGCTGGGTATGGTCTCCATTTTCGAGAGGAAATTCTGGAATGGTTACCTTTTCTTTTACGATACGTTGCATTCTCGTTCAAAAAAAAGCAGCGAAATATCTGCTGCTCTCGTGCATTTTTACACGAAACAATTTTTGCTGTAAAAAAACAAAGGGATTTTCCAGCAATTTTCAAATAGCGGAATATTGGAATTTGTGACGAAATTCTATTCACGAGACTACCGCCAAATGAAAAAAAAAAAAATGTTTTTATTTCGCGAATTGGATAATTAAAAAGCGCTAGCAGCTGAATTGTAAACGGCAACAGATACCTGCAGTATCACGGTGCACCTTCGAAACTCTACTTTTAACACGTTTTGCCAGCTGAACGGTAGAGTAATAGTACTATAACGATCGAAATTTTTGGCACTGGTCCACGTACATTTGCTGCGGGAATTTCTCTGCCGCTTAAGGCCAACGACTTCGGAGACAAATTTTCCCAACCGCGCTTTATGGTCGTACAGCGATCGCGCGCTCGTTGAAAATACCTTTTCGTACAATGGAAAGCCGACGCTAATATCGCGAGCTTTTTAGAAAATTAAATTATACGTCCTCGACACGTACCCCCCAGATGAGTGTTCCTCAACAGTTTTTAAAAATTTTTTTATCAGAAATTGCGAGTTCGATATCGCTGCATCGGTAGAAGCGTTTGGCTTCGATCCAGGTGTATTTACCGCGGCGATCTCCTCTTTATAAATCAACGTAAGAATTTCAGTGGCCTCCATCGATTGAAGGTACTTTCATTAAAACGTAATCTAGATGGCGGGAGGAAACCGTGTGGCTTCCTGTCTAGGTATTTCAAGGTAAATTTATACTGAGAATGAGATCAAATCGATAGTAATATTCATCTTTGTGATACAGTGTGCGCCTTCCAATGATTTATTTGAGAAACAGGGTGGTTCTTCATGGAAAATGAATTGGAAATATTGCTCTCCCTTCGTTTGGAAGACAGAAAAATGAAGATTTTTCTTCCAACTTGATTTAAAACTTTCGAGATTTCAAATTGAAAATGTATTTTTATCAAAATAAAACATAGTCTGTGTTACTCGGGAATAGTGTAGCTTTCTATTACTGAAAACATTTTTAAAATCGGTTTAATAGTTCCGGAGATAACCCCCTACATATAAACAAACAAAATTTACCTTTTTATGATATTAGTATACGTAGATAGAGCTCTTGAGGACCACCCTTTGTATACATTACAGGTATTCATCGACTGTAAATAGAGTTAAAAATTCTTGGAACGGATTGATATAATTAAAAATTTGTTGGGTGGTGGGGTTTATTAATGGTTATTTTTCGCGGGTGTCAGAGCGGTCGAGTCGTCGAGGCATCGAAGCGCGAGCACAATTTCTCATTTTCTCGCGTCTCCGGCTCGTTCTTGCCCTCATTTTCATCCGTGGCAGGTATTCCCCTCTCCCCATTCATCTGTTTCTAGTCGCGGGGATTTTTCTGTCCTGCCAGTGGGGACTTTCGCGGCTAGAAAAACTCGTTAACTTCAGGAGCCAGGCGAACGAAGCGAAGGCGTCCGTATTAGCGAGAGCCTGCAGTGGCTCGGTCAATAACAGGCGCCTACCACCTGCACTGGACTTTTGCTGATGCAGGTTCTCTCCTCTTCTCTCCATTTTCCTTGCGCATCTTGTGCTAAATTCCCCGGTTGTGTTCCTTTGTATAATGCAATTTCGCGTGACGCGGGACGGAGTCGATACTCCGCCGCTCTTCAGATGGTGATTACGGATCCTTTCAGAGACGATAGTCGAACACGGTGGCACGGATCAAACGCGTCGTCCACAGAGGATCATGTTCCCAAACTACTTCTCGGAATTGCCGAAACGGGGTTAGAGATACGTGACGATCGTGAGATTAATATTGGGACGTACTTTGAGCGACTACGTCAGCAGAGACAGTGAGAGTTAATCCTGGAATGCCACATCGACTCCTTATTTTCTGGTGTTTATACCCGTTGTAAAGAGTGACATTCGAATTTCTACCTAGGAAAATTGTTTACGGTGTCATCGACTAGATTGATGAGAAATTGAATCCTCCTGTAGTGTTTTCTCGAAGTCTGTGCTAGGGGTCCAGTGGACACAAGTCATGTGATTCATTCCATACCTTTATATTATCTTTCTTAAGCTTTGGACAACTTTAATTATTTTGAAAAATCATATAATGAAAATCGTAACTTTGAATTTTAATTCGTTTTTATTTTACTGAAATTGAAGTGTGGTGTTTCATGGTTAACGCGACGAAGTCTGCATTTCGCATATATTTCGACAGATACTTTAAATTATCGTACTCTTTGTTGTGTCGAACGTAACTGAAATATTCCAAAAATGAGTGCCGACGACAGCGAGTGCGTTTGCACGTGCGTCGTTAGGGGCCAGCAGTGTGTAATGTGGGAGTATAGTGAGTACAACAAGTGGAAAGAGCGTTTGTAGCCAGACCGAAGAAAGAATTGATTTTAGAGAAATTCTGTGTGTAATTATTCTAAATTAATTATATTGATTCTCTCTTCTGTCTATCTAGATAATTTTTAGAATTAGTCGTGAGTGAAGATAATAATAGAATAGAAAGTGTCGCAAGTGTTACATCAAATTTTGATATAAAAACATCTTTGTACTTTAAATGAAATTATCAACCCTTCCACAATAGAATTAATTTAAAATCGATCCATCAAGCGTGGGATAAAATTGCAAGGGACATAATTTCGTGGATCGAAGTACGTTAAAATTCACTATAAGCGGTTGAACCCATTTTGTAGTAGCGTTAATAAAATCCTCCTTTGCACCGAACTTCGATCATCTTCTTAGGCAAACTTTTTAACGTAATTTTGTTAATGACTTTCCGTCGAATAAAATTAATAAATTGCCTCTTTTCAATTTGTCGCCTCCGTAGATAACTCATAATCGTCGAGGTCGCGAAACTTTAGTGGACAATTAAAATCGCTGCATTTCCGGGTTGAAAGTACCGCTGAAAGTTCAGTTCCGCTGAAAAATGTATTTTTCATCGACTGTATTTATTATAGATGGGCGTAATTATGCTCTTTAATTATTTTCAAACATCCCGGGGCAACTCGTACAATTTGCGACGGACTTAATTGTGATTTACGCGCCGTTGCTTGTATTTGTTTCTACTGTACCGCACAGATATTAATGAGATGTTTTACAATTTCGTTTCACGTGGTTGGCAGACCACCGATCATAATTATACGACCGGTTACACGTGCCG